CTTCAAAGTGATTACTTCCATCCTCACCCTCCACCATTGTCACTCCTAGCCAAACATTAATGATCCTCCAAATTTTCTTAGAAAGTCTGCATAAAAAGAAGAAGTGGTCTTGGTTCAGCCTGCTCTTGACATAAGGGGCACCATTTTTCCGTGTCGGAGTGTATTATATTTCTCTTCACCAACTGATCCTTGGTTGGTAGTCTATTTAATATAGATCTCCAACCAAAGATCTTGACTTTCGAGGGCACTTTTGTGAGCCAAAGAGATTTCAAAACCGATAAAGAAAACAGATCCAAAACATCTTCAGAGTCTCTATCGCGCAATAAAGAATATCAACTTTTAGCAGAAAACAAACCATTATCATTTGGCCACCATCTGTAAGTGTCCTCTACATCAATTGATGGTTTGTATCCTGTTACAAGTTCCAACAGATCAAAAGCTTCCTCAGTTGCCTCCGAATTGTCTGCAGTCACGAATAGCTCCCACCTCCACTCGTTATCATACATAAAACCCATCTCAGCCACCTTCTCAAATGGCTTCTTGGACAGCCTAAAAAGGTCGGAGAATGTCTTTAAAAGCGACTCCACCAATCCACCTATTGAACCAAAACAAAATAGAGTCACCATTGTCGAGTCCACAATTAATACTACCTGCAAAACAGTCGAAAGTGTTAGCTTTAAGCTTGGTGATCATTAGAAAATCCTTTCGTTGATGCCTTTTTATTTGTCTTGGATTCAAACCCTAACATCACAACTTTTTTCACATAACCATATTTAGCACTAAGAATTTGTTTCCATATAGTTCCCTCTTTGTTTAGTATCTTCCACTTCCATTTACAAAGGATAGCCTTGTTGAAGAAACCAATGTATTTGATGCCAAGGCTGTAACACCCTCTAAAACCCCGCATATAATTTTCGCAAATATTAAAAATTATAAACTCAGAGTACATGTAATAATCGAGGAATGCTACAATTCTCTTTTAATAAAATAAATTCCTGTCATGCATAATTTTAGTGGTAACTCATACATGTCTACACAGCGGAATAATTTATTTAATAAATCAAATGTTATAATACTTTCCAAAATCATCAAGGATTAACACCTGGAAAAGTCAACGTCATATTATAACAATTAACAGAAAATAAACGAGTCTGACTAAAGCAGCTCGACAACCAAACGTTTCCCGGAGTTACAACTATCAGAGCATGACCCGGACATACTAAAACGAAACTAAACTAGACACGATAAGCCTTCGCCAAGCACCTGAGCGAAGCTCCTCAATCTGAAATATTCAACAGTAAGGGTGAGCTTCTCAAATATACATTTGGTTATACATTCATAACAATCAATTCACGAAATCATAAGCATCACCCAATAATTAGCATATTTCATAGTTTACAAAACCTTTACAATTCATATATCCATGACATATTGCCTTTCATATTTGCAAATATTCACCAAACATCATCAACCATTTATCATTTCATACGTGCATACAAACAATCAAATATAACATTGGAAAAATCATCCATTCATGTTATATTCGAGTAATGCAACACACCCATGCATGTGGTACCACTTCACCGCCCCATTAAATCGCGGGTCACGGATAACTCACCGTTCCATTATATCGCGGACACGGCTACCACCTCAACGTTCCATTATATCGCGGACACGTATATTGGCCACCATGTTAATTCCACACAATGGGAATTAACAAATGCAACATGATATGTAAGTATGTAACACTCAGCATACTATGAACATCAATCAACATATCATGCACATCAACAATATCAAACATAACATGATAGGAATAGCATGTAACCACTCAGCATACTATTAAACATCAATCATATCAAGTTATATCATAATTCATGCTTGATAACATCATCTAAAAGCATGACAATAAGATCCACATAGTGTTGGTATCATAACATACAATCGTTATTCGATACACACATCAATCAACACTAGGAATTCAATAAACACATATTCAAAACATGTCAAACACTGCACATCAAAACCGGATCAATCCGTACTTAACAACATGCACGGAAAACATAGTTTAAAAACCAACACAGGAGGTTTAACACGGGTGCCCGTGTAAAACAACACTGCCCGTGTGGAAATGTGTCCAGAAAACACGTTTTTTTGACAAAACAGGGGATCAACACGGGCGCCCGTGTAAATCAACACGGCCCGTGTTGAATTGTGCCCAGAAAACCCATTTTTATGCCAACACAGTGAATCAACACGGGCGCCCGTGTTAATCAACACGCCCGTGTTGAATTATGGCCAGAAAACACATTTTCATCAGCATTACAGTGAATCAACACGGGTGCCCGCGTAAATCAACGCGCCCGTGTTGATGAGTGCGAACCCAATTTTTCTGTTTTTGCAGCAACTCATATACCCATTTTTTTGCACGAAAATACCTCTCTACGGCGGTGCAATATAGTACAAAGACATCCAATCCATCATAGGAACCTAAACTCCCTAATTGATTCATAAAATTGGGAACCTAAACCTTTTCTAACAAGTTCAATCCTAAGGTTATCGATCCCTAGAAACATCTAACAATTGGGATTTCCTACGATTACCCGAATCAACCGTACATAAACCCATAAACAAATATAAATCGAGTATAAACCCCCCTTACCTTATCAATTAGCAGCTTTGAGTTCCTGAGCGATGTTCTTCGTTCTCCGTTCTTCAGAGCTCTATTTTCCCAAATTCCAACTTCTGTTCTTACGTGAAAACCAAAAATGAGAAAATGGCCTAAGTCCCAAACATAACTTTATTTCTCTGCACCCCCACTCTTTACTAACAACATCTAAGCCCAATAACATAAAAATCCCAATATTCCTTATTTCTTTTATTTTCCTCAAATACTCCAAAATAAATAATTCTTTTTATTTTATTAATTCTAATAAAATAAATTCCCAAATTTAAATAAATCAATTAATTGAAAACGGGGTGTTACAAAGGCCACCCTCCTCTTTCGGCTTACAAGTGTTATTCCAACTAACCCAATTGATACGTTTTTTATCCTTGCTCCCACTCTATAAGAATCTGCTCTGGATTTGGATAATCTCTTTGATCACCTTAACTGGAGTTCTATAAAATGACATATTATAAATTAGAATGCTTAATAGTACCGAATTTAAGAGCGAAACCCTTCACCCTATGGATAGAAATCGCGCCTTCCAGCTTGACAATTTATTCTTGAGACTTTTCAATATCGGGTTCAAAGACTCACACATTCTTGGATTGGAACCTACCAAAATGCCTAGAAATTTGAATGGTAACTCCTCCTTACAGCAACACATAAATTGAGAAGCTCTATCCATGAAGTCTTCCTTTAAATTGACCCCAACTATCTTACTCTTGAAGAAATTGACCTTCAAGCCTGAAATGAGTTCAAAGCCCCTAAAAATTGCCTTAATGCTCCTTAAGTTATTCCAACAACCGCTCCCTACAATAACCGTATCATCTGCAAATTGCTGAATTTTGATATTCACATTTTCGTTGATATTGTACCCCTTAAAACATCCCAACTCAGCCACTCTGTTAACCAACCATACCAAAATTTCCGCCACCAAAGTGAAAAGAAAGGGAAACAAAGGATCACCCAAACCCATTTCCGCCCAGAAGTCTGAGGTTGGACTCCCGTTGACGAGAATTGACATAGAACTTTTAAAAATACATGTTTCTGTCCACTTACACCAAATTCTAACAAAACCAAATTTTTGAAATACAATTCTCAAAAAATCCCAACTCACACAATCATACGCCTGTTGGAAATCCGCCTAGAAAATGAAACACTCCCTCTTTTCCTTCGTTGCATGATCTATGATTTCATTCAATTCTAGAACCCCGTCCAAAATTTGTCTTCCGGAAACAAAAGCAGATTGAGAAGGAGAAATAATTTCTGGAAATACCTTCTTTAATCTGTTTGCCAATGTTTTAGAGAGGATCTTGTATAAAAAACCCACAAGACAAATTGGTCGATACTCGTTAAGACGACCCTGGGGGTTGAAATTTTTGGGAATTAAGGCTAAGAAAGACGCAGTAATTACTTTTGGCAGCATCGCTGAGTTATGAAATTCCCAAACAAAATTAACGATGTCATCCTCTAAGAAACACCAACATTCCTGTAGGAACCTGAAATTGAACCCACCGGGTCCGGGACTATTCTCACCATTTGACTCCCACGTTGCCGCCTGATTTCCTCACGGGTGAATTCAGCAACCAAAAAAGAATTATCTTCTGAAGTTATGCCTCTAACCTGCAAACCACTGAATAAAGGTCGCTCTTTGATAGGTTCCACAAAGCGATTTCTAAAAACCCCCAAGATCTCGTTGTGGATCCCCTAGTCATCTTCAATTCTACTACCTTCATTATTTTGGACCCACACAATGGTATTTCTCCTCCTCCTATCTTTTATTACCCCATGAAAATATTTTGTATTCATATCACCCTCCCTCAGCTAGTTTTGTCTAGATTTCTATCTTGAGAGATTCTCTTTTAGGTACAAGTGTTTCCAAACCTCATCTTTAGTCGACTTCCTGGTATTAAAATGCATGTTGTTGTTGAGATCATCATCACTAATTGGGATCAATTCTTCGTTGTTAATAATTCTAGAAGCCTCCTTCACTTTAATATCCAGCCAGCCAAAAATATTCTTATTCCACTTCCACATAATGTTCCTGAGAAGTTTGAATTTCTCCTTCAACATAAAAGCTTGTTTGTCTTCAATAGTTATATTTTTCCACGACTCCTCCATATAACGCAAAAACTCCTTGTGTTCAAACCAACAACTATTGACTTTAAAGGGCTTAGGGCCCAAGTTGAGCTCACTAGATTTTAGCCAGATAGGTGAATGATTCGAAATATAGTTTCTTCAACCTCTGCACGTTTCAAATGCTCTTTCTCTATAGTTTTTGATTGGTACTCTTGGACAAAAGATTCCTCCAATAACTCTTCAGAGTGGTTAGCTATCTATTCTCCACTGTCATCATCATCCAAGCTTTCCGCAAATCCTCCTCTCCTTTTTTCTTATTTCCGTGAATGTTCACCGTAATTCTCATAGGGCCATGAACATCCTCAACAAACTTGATTATAAAAACTTTTTCATTGATAGAAATGTTGTAAGTTTCATTCAAAACTAAGCAGTACTTTATTCTGATAAGAACTCTAGCCACATCCAGATTTTTGTGTTTGGATGTTTCTTCATCAGAACACACATAGTGCCCTAATGGTTTTGTCATGAAATCGAAAACTTTTGGGTTCCACGCATGACAAGGTAAACCAAATACTCTCAACCAGGTAAGTCTTTCATTATCCATGTCTTGTGGACGCCATGGACGTATTTCTTGGAACCACTGACTGATCCAGTCTGATGCATCAGCAATCAAGGCTGCCAGTTCTCCTTCATTGCTTTCCTCAAGAAGACATAGATTTCCCCCATAGGCGTAACCTTCACTCCGAAAAAACCTTCCATATTAAAATATTCCTGCATGTTATAAGTAACCCCCAGGTTCTCCACTACCCCAATGTATGCGTTATGAAATCGCTCCATATCTGCATCTTCTAGGTTGTATTCTAAATGTGCAAACATAATCTTTTTTGCCTGCTCCATAACTCCCCACGACCTTTTTGAATAATTGTTGTTCACCACCTGGGCATAATTTTTCGTAATCCCACAGTGTATTCTTTGATTATTCCTCCTAGGTAGCTCTGTGTTTACTGCTGCAACCCCTTTGGTCTCCTGCTCATTCTGCTCTTTTCCTTTGACCAAGCCTCTTCCATATTCTCGTTCTCGGTTAAATATTGGTAGATTTGCATGTATTTTCCTTGAACCTATGATAATGTTATCAAGTTTTATGGCCATCAGTCTCTCATCTGCAACATTGAAGAACCGCACAAAGCCGAAACGATTTCCCCTCTTGTCTCTTTTCGGAGGAATGATAATTTCATCGATCTCGCCACTTTCTTTGAAGATAGCATACATTTCCTTAGCACCAAAATCCTCCAGTATTTCTGCGAAAAATGCATCGTCGTTTTATTGTCCTTTATGGAGTTCTTCCTTCTTCCAGCTTCCCAATCCTGCTTCCTAGCCTTCATATGTCTCCTGCTTCTTACTAGTTTCCACTCCGATGGACCGTTTCTTGAGTAGCTATGCATGGTAATTTTGAAAATGTTTGTGATTTAGGGTTTGAATTTTAATACAAATAAGAAAAGGTGTTTACCATTTCTATTTTAGAGAGAAGTCGAACCTTTTGATTGGATGCTAAAAGATTTCAAGGAATCATTGTTGAGATAACTGACAGATGGTCCCAAATTGTCACCGCTGTATGTTTACTTCCAAATTAAGGGGTATATTTGTTGCACGATTAGCAACCCTTGACTGTGAAATTTTATCTCGTAATTAAACGTGACCTGTGCAGGTTCAGGTTGTTAGATCAAAGCATTTTACAACAAGAATATTTGATGTTTTTGTATTGATTATCATAATAAAGATCATTGCGAATCTAATTCCAATTGCAAATGAACAACCAGATGAATTACACATACCACACTCTTTTTAACTTGGTTTTAGAGTTCTGGTTATGCAAATCATCAATGATTGTTTGAAAGGCTGATTATGCCTTTCAACTTTTTGGAAATCATCATTCTGAATATGCAAAGTCAATCAACATATGTGAGGGCTTAAAATCTCACCATCCAAATTGTCCACATTGTTGCAACAGATGCATCCAAACACAGGCATGATACATCTAGTATGACATCACATTATATATATTTTAAGAAAACAAGTTCAAGTTTTATCTCAAATAGTAATGTAGTGAGCCTTTGATGTCAACAAACAGTCCACAAACTCAAAAGACCGTCAAATAATAGAGGGATGCTCTGTCCACCCTTAGTGTGTCCACTTCACACTTGAAAAACCCCAAAATGCCCTAGCGTCAAGACACTATGGGACATTTGAACTATGGGACATTTGAGATTTCACGGTGGTGTGGGAAAACACACAAGGGTGGATTAAGCATTTCCCATAACATAAACATACATAAAGGCTTTGATCTCAATGAACAGCCCACAAACTCAATTGACAAATAACTTAAACATGCATAAAAAATGTTTGGCACTTCAACTAGTATCAATGTTGCAGAGTAAATATTGTTACACCTGCACAACAACGCTTCTCCCAACTTTCCAATCATTAATAACAACTCACTGCTTCTATTATATATAACCCTTGACATAATGGATCACTTAATATCTTCTAATAGAAGTTATCAAGTATGGACATACTTGTATTGCATCTAAACTCTGAAGGATTATAACAACCATGCAGATTCCTGCAAGTTAAATAAGGTCATGTAAGTAGAAAAAATATGTCAAATGACTCTTAAGTATATCATATGATCAACAACAAAGTTAACTGCTAGATACTAAATCAAAATTGCTTTATGTGTGACTAAGGATCTGAACCTCCTATGATTTAAAAGATAATTAAGCAATGCAAGCTGACACATAGAGTACCGGCATAGCAATGCAAGCCTTATTTTAGAGCATCCACTCAAGTTGAGGCTAGACACAATCATGTCAATATATATGTAACTTCTTTCTTTAGCCAAGAAACTTGTAATTTATCCACTAATAATAACTAGTTATAACCAAAGATATCTTTATGAACATGAACATAGAAGGAATGAAAAATTAAAACAAACCAATTATAAATGTCCCCGTCTAAGAGGTTTTTTTTTCTGCCATCAACAAAATCAACTTCAGCTGAGGGTGAATTTTGGAGCAAGAAGTCCACAATTCCATCAGGTACGAGTGGAGATGGTTCCAATCATAAATCAAATGCTTTCTATATCCTAGCAACTTCTTTTAGTTACTTGATGTTAAGTAACTTTTCATCGCACAACAACATGCGAAATGGATATCGAATTTCCTCTAGTTCCACCTTCAATGACTTCAATTTACCCAAGGAAGGATTCTAAAACTCCAACAGTCCAGGAATTAAGGAGAGAGCCTACACAATGAGGGATGCAAGCAGATTAGACTAATGCAAGTCAAATATTTTTTTATGAAATTTAGAAGAAAGTAAAAAGGTATGTAAAGAAGAAAGTAAAAACACACAGCCTCAAAAGATGTTAAGCTGATGTACCTGAAGAGTAGCTGCAGTGACGGTCAATGATTGTATGTTAGCAAACTCTAAGAGCCACTTGAACAGAAATAAAGGAGGCCCACAACTATCTAGAAATACTTCTGTGTCAATATGTACATGTCGAAGAGAAGAAATATTGCTCCAAGAGATATCCTGATTAGAATATCCACGAAAAGCAAATGTAGAAAGACTCGGAGTGCAAAGAATAATTTTATAGTAGTCATCTTCGCATGGCTCAATGTGCATAGTAAAATTGACGAGGGTCGTGCTTGATATGCAGAGGGTTCCTGCACCTTTCACGATGCATTCGGAAATGAACAAACTTTCCAACCTACTAAAGTTTAACTTTCTTATTAGACATTCTGAGTCTAACTTTCATCTTCAAGGAATTAGACATTCAGTTATCACTAAGTTTAACTTTCTTCATCACGGAATTAGGCATTCAGATAAGTACTTGATAAGGGAAAAAACATGAATCAATATCTCTCAAAATCATATTTGACAAATTGGAATGGAAAATCAATCAGGAAAAAACATGAATCAATATCTCACAAAATCATATTCTGATAAGCTGCATTGGAAAATCAATCAGGAAAAAAAAACCTAAATCAAATGTCTCTTTAAACTGCACAATGAAAAAAAAATCAATCGGAAAAACCTTGAAAGTGGATGTGTTAGATTGAGTTGGAAAGGAAAAATCAATGTTGAGATTTGTTAGATACTAGGAGCATTGATACATAGTGTAGGAATAAGCACATTTACGAGAGACACATCACTTATCCACCTAAAACTTTAAGGTGATAGGTGGGTGGGTTCTCTCACTTATATATACTTAAGTCTCCACATTCCTATCAAATATGAGACTATTTCCCCACTTACTTACATTTACTATATTATTCCAACAATCAATGGAGAAATAGCTGACGGAGTTTGGTGATTGACCGAGTCATTGGATTAGTGGTTGCATCGACAGGTCACTAGTTAACCAACATCATTGTTCATCCGATCTCTTAGAAAAAATAAAAATAATAAAACATGTGCATATAAAATTTAAATATATTAAACTAAATAATAACTAATCCAAAATATAATTGATCTATTTTAATTTAATTAGAAATTAATAGTACGGTCTTGTCTGGATTTATATTACACGTATTCTAAATAATCATTTGTAAAGTTTGAATTCATACTTCAATTAGTTAATATTCATATAATTATAAAATATAGACTAATAATATTAAATTGAGAAATAGCAAATGAAAAATTTGAAAAATGAACATTAAAATGAACCGCTTACCGCTGATATCTCATAGATATGTTTATATCTACTCGTGAATCTATTTCATGTAACTTATCACCATTTATAAAAAATCATTCAAAAATGAGATTTAAGAATATCGAAAAATCAATACAATATTAAATAATAATTTCACATTTATTTTGTATATACAACTTAATACATGTTTATTAATTTCTTATAAAAATTCAAACATATAGATACAAATTTACTAATAATACCCGACTTTTAATTATATTAATTATATGATGATAAAATACATAATTTAAAAATATATATTACACCAATCTAAATTTACTTTAAAAAAAAACTAAAACTGAACTTTGATGTTAGATATAAAATTAAGAAATAAAATTAAAAAATAAATAATTATTATGATGAATTATTTAATTTTCAATTCAATAATAATGATTTGATTCAATAATAAAATTTCATGAAGTCTAAGTTAAATGATAATTTCACATTATTATGGTAATTATCATTTAATTGCCTTTAAGATTTAAGAAAATCAAAACTTTGAATGGAAAGCTAAAAAAATTGGTTTTCGTATCTGCAACGAAAAATTGAATTTGCATTGAAAAGTTAAAAAGATGAGTTTTAATAGCTATGATAATTTATTGTTTAAAAAATGTTATATCATTTAATAAAAGATAAAATTAAAGTTAGAGAAAACAAATAAAATTTTCCACCCATATTTTTTTGCTATTGATCTTTTGTTCTACATTATGATTATCATATAATCCTCAAATGAATGAAAATCATAAAAATTGTAAGGCTCGGTCTATTTAACAACTCAAATTTACGAAATATCAAAGTAATCCTTTAAATTAAATAATATCAGTCAATTTTTTTAGTAAATTTGAGAGTTTGTATCTCTCAAATTTGTGTGTTCTTACTATTGATTCAACACCAATAAATTATTTTCACTGCAATCTGATTCAGTTTCTATCAACCCACAGTTTTCATTACAATTCACAAGTGAGCCTTCAGTGTCAGTGTTGTTAAGCCTTGATTGTCAATTCACATAACATCTCATCAATGAGCATAGTGCTTCTTCCCATTTGAGTTACCATAAAAACATTATTTACTTATAGTCAAACTTTTCCATAATCCATACTTCATAATAATATTCTACTCTTCATTTTATCTCAAGAAACATAGAGAGAAATTGTTGATTCACAACAATCATATTATTTTCTGAATAACTTCAATACAAACAATATTGAAAAACTAAGGAAGGACTAAGAGTGTCATCATTACGGTCTCAATAGCAGATTATGAAATATGTTTTTACTCTCTGAGAATAACATTATTAACCTCACTGCATATATGAGAAATGAGCTATGTTAATAATTAATACATGACGGAAAAATTTGAATTCCTTTGGTTTTGTATGTTCGGAGCAGTTAATGCTACTTTTCTTTAACAAATTTGTATGCAAAAACATAATGAAAGGTTTGTGATCTGACCTGATCAGAAATGGACCGTCACGGCTGACTCCGAGCTGAAAGCTTTTTGAACGAGGTGGGGGTACCTG